GAAAGAGAAATCTTCCATCTGCTGGTTCACTCCCCAAATGGCTGCAACGGCTGGAGTTGAGTCGAACCAAAACCAGGAGCTTCTTCCAGGTCTCCCATGTGGGTTCAAGGGCCCAAGGACTTGGGTCAACTTCTACTGCTTTCCCAGGCTGTACCAGAGAGCTGGATTGGAAGTGGAGTAGCCAGGATTTGAACCGGCGCCCATATGGGATGCCAGCACTGTAGGCAGTGGCTTTTACCTGCTACACCACAGCACCAGCCCCCTTTGGGGAGTTTTGAGTCCAAGAGTTGACAGGCAAACTCTCTATGTAAAGAGCCAGATAGACTTTGCCAGCCATTCAGTGTCTGTTGTAATCACTCAGTTCCTACTTAACTTTATGGCTGTCATGTGAAAATGCTGTAGACATATGCAAACAAGTGAGCATGACAGTGTCCAAGAAGCTTAATTTACATGGGTAGGCAGTGAGCCAGACATGGCCCATGTCCTTTGTCATCCCTGGTCTAGTCTAAGCTCTTATTTTGAAAAGGGAGAGATTAATTGACAACGATTATCACGCAGGTGATCAAATGCATGCTATTTGCCTACTAGCCAGCTCATTGATTTGAGATAAGATGCTTTACCTTAACATCCATAAAATAAGATGTGTTAGTTATGGACATTAGTTTCCTAGGGCGGCTATAGCAAGATATCATAGATGGGGTGACTTAATAATAGAATTTTATTTTCTCATAGTTCTGGATGCTGTGTGTCCCAGGTCAAGGTGCCAGCAGGGTTGGTTTCTCTCGAAGCCCCTCACCTTGTCTTGCAGATGGCAGTCTTCCTGTTGGGACATCACATGGTTTTTTCCTCTGCGCAGAGACAACCCTGTAGTTTCCTCCTCTTCTTATAAAGATACCAGTCAACAGGCTGGCATTGTGGTGTAGTGGGTTAAGCTGCTGCCTGGGACACCACCATCCCATATGGGTACCTGTTAGTGTTCCAGATGCTCCACTTCCAATCCAGCTCCCTGCTAATGTGCGTAGGAAAGCAGCAGAAGATGGCCTAAGTACTTGGGGTCATGCCACCCACTTGGGAGACCTGGAAGAAGCTCCTGATTCCTGGCTTTGGCCTGACCCAGCACTGGCTGTTGTGGCCATTTGGGATATGAACCAGCATGTGGAAGATTTCTCTCTCTGTCTCAGTCTCTCTCTCTCTCTCTCTCTCTCTCTCTCTGTGTGTGTGTGTGTGTGTGTGTGTGTATGTGTCCTTCTCTCTATAATTCCTTCAAATAAATAAATCTTGAAAGAAAAAAAGGACACCAGTCAGATTGGAATAAGGTTCACCCTACTGGCCTCATTTTAACTTAAACGCTTCTTTCAAAGCTCCTTCTGCAAATACAGTCACATTTTGAGGCATACTGGGGTGTAGTGCATGTGCCTTTGAAATATGATTTCTTCCCATGATATTACCCATTGCTGTGTAACAAATGACTCCAAACTTAGTGAAACTTACTACCACATTTATGATTTCAGTTTCTGTGGGTCAGGAATTCAACACTGGCTTATGCGGATGGTTCTGGCTCAGATTCTCACAGTTCACAGTAAAGCTCTCAATCATGGCTGTAGAATCCTCTGGAGGCTCCACAGAGGACAGGTTTCAGTGTCTTCATGTGCTTCTTGGGACGGTTCTGTTGTTTTTGGGAGCTGGACTGAGGGTGGTGGTCCCCTGCTGGTTGATGGTGGAGGCTTCTCTCCATCCCACGGCACCTGGGCTTCCTTGTAGGGCAGCCCACAATGTAGCAGCAAGAGAATGCAATGGGGTAGCAAGTCTTTTAGCAACCCAACTTCGGGAGTGACACTCCATCATTTTTGCCACACTTAATTTGTTAGGAGCAGGTCACAAACGCAACCCTCACTTTGCAGGAGGGGATTGCACAAGGGTGGAGACCAACTGGCAGAGATCGCTGGGGGCGGTCTTAGAGGTGACTTCCAGAGAAGTCTGGCTACACATGCTTAAAGGAGAAAATGTCACTCTGTTCAAATTCTCAGCTCTGTGCTAGCTTCCTTTTCTCTTGCTTCCTTTGTTTGTTTTAAACTAATTTTAGAGCACTTGATTATCTCCACCATAGCTGAAGAGTCTGTGGAAAAGAGAGTGTGGGGCTGGCGCTGCCTGCAGCGCCGGCATCCCATATGTGTGGCCGTTCGAGTCCCGGCTGCTCCACTTCCCATCCAGCTCTCTGCTATGGCCTGGGAGAGCAGTGGAAGATGGCCCAAGTCTTTGGGCCCCTGCACCCGTGTGGGAGACCTGGAAGAAGCTTCTGGCTCTTGGCTTCAGATCAGCGCAGCTCCAATTGTTGTGACCAGTTGAGGAGTGAACCAGTGGATGGAAGAACTCTCTCTCTCTCTCTCTCTCTCTTTCTCTCTCTCTCTCCCCCTGCCTCTCCTTCTCTGTGTAACTCTGACTTTCAAATAAATAAATAAATATTTAAAAAAAAAAAGAAAAAGAAAAAGAGAGGGTGTATCAGGTAGTTCTGAATATTTGGCCATTATGGATTCATGAAGTTTATTAATTTCGATATAAAATTTGAATGCATTTCAACACTTACATATTTGTAAGTAAGATGATTAGGTAGATCAACTAATTTAAAAAGCAGGTCTTATTTCCATACAAGCAATTTGTTACTCACGTATATACCTTTTTTTTTTAGATTTATTTATTTGAAAGGCAGAGGTACAGAGAGGCAGAGGCAGAAAAAGAGAGAGAACATATATACTTATTAATGCAAATTACTCACTTGATCTTACAGTAACCTCAGCATAGGTTTTTAAAGTTACAAAATCTGTATGTCTTTAAAAATTCTGTAAGTCAAACTTTCTACTAATTTAGAATAAACTTTGCCAGTTAGGCTAAATATGTGTGACTTGACTATAGCTTTTCCAAAATAGAATGACAGAAGCAACTATTCTTGGCTTTGTCCTTACTGGCTTCCCAATAGAGAGGATCTGGGTAAGTCACTGAAGTGCTTGGTTTTGAAGATTACCTCTGAAGCCACCTACCAGTCACTGTAAGCTCAACAGCTTTCAACTCACCGCTAACATTGTCTGGGAAAAGTTGCTTTGCTTTCTTTCTTTCTTTTTTTATATAATTGAAAAGTTAACGAGTGATGAAGTTTTGCTTTTTATTAGGTTAGAATAGTGATTCTCAACTGGGAGTGATTTTGCTCCATGGGGGCAGTTAGCAACACGTGGAGACATTTTGGTTGTCACAACCAGAGTGGGGAGAGGAATTGCTACTGGCGTCTAGTGGGTTAATGGGCAGAAGCCAGCGATACACAGGGCAATTCTTTCTAACAAAAAGTTGCTCAGCCCAAAATGTCAATCATTTTGAGGTTGAGAAATCCTAGCTTAGAGCAAGATATCCCTATTGTGTTTTCAGCTCATAGTTGGTATAAGAATGAGGCTCAAGAGTTCATGTTTTGCGGCCAGCACCGTGGCTCACTTGGTTAATCCTCTGCCTGCGGCGCTGGCACCCCATATGGGCACCGAGTTCTAGTCCCGGCTGCTCCTCTTCCAGTCCAGCTCTCTGCTGTGGCCCGGGAAGGCAGTGGAGGATAGCCCATGTGCTTGGGCGCTTGCACCCGCATGGGAGACCAGGAAGAAGCACCTGGCTCCTGGCTTCAGATTGGCTCAGCATGCCGGCCGTGGCGGCCATTTTGGGGGGTGACCCAACGGAAGGAAGACCTTTCTCACTCTCTCTCACTGTCTAGCCCTATCTGTGGGACTAAAAGATACATACAGATAAAACGAGTTCATGTTTCAGCAGTTAAGACACCATTTGGGATGCCTGCTTTGCATATTAAATACCTGGGTTCAAGTCTGGCTCTGCTTCCAATTCCAGTTTCCTGTTAATGTGCACCCTGGGAGGTAACAAGCAAAGGCGGGAGTACTTGGGTCTCTATTACTGCTGTGAAGACCAGGATTGAGTTCTTGGCTCATGTCTTTGCTGTCTTAGCCCTGGCTGTTGCAGGCATTTGGGAAGTGAACCAATGGATGGAAAACTGTCTATTTCTCTCAGACTTTCAAATAGATAATAAGAAAATAAATAATTAATTAAAATGAATAAGTTTCAAATGGACTAATGGTGTCTTTACAGCAGAATATCTCAAAGTCTTTAAATGCTCACATGCATAGTGTCCTCAATAATAAGATCTAGTATCAAAGATTCTCAAACATGTTGAACAATGGAACATTTTTATGGGGATTTTAAACCACAAATTCTTTTTTTTTTAAAAGATTTATTTTATTTCTTTGAAAGACAGAGTTACAGAGAGAGTTAAAGACAGAGAGAGAGGTCTTCTATCTGCTGGTTCACTGCCCAGATGGCCTCAATGGCCGGAGCTGTGCCAAACCGAAGCCAGGAACCAAAAGCTTTTTCTGGGTCTCCCACGCAGGTGCAGGGGCCCAAGGACTTGGGCCATCTTTTACTGCTTTTACAGGCCATAGCAGAGAGCTGGATCACAAGAGGAGCAGCCGGGACTAGAACCGGCACCTATATGGGATGCCGGCGCTTCAAGCTAGGGCTTTAACCCGCTGCGCCACCGTGCCGGCCCCCACAAATACCCTATATATCAGAATTGTCTTTGAGAAGTCTAGCTTAGAATATATAAAAATGAATGACACATACTCCTGGGCGGGAAGATCTTGGGATCCCGTATTTATTAGTATCAAGTCATTGCACTTCCAGCCATTCCTCATCCAAGCAGATATTCTGCACAGAACTGCTGATCAGAGTACTATGATTACCAGAATACATGCTGTTGTTTTATTGTTTATTGCTGAGTTTTGGACAATAAACAGGAAGAAAATAAAGACAATTCACTATTGAGGTACTCAAGGATAATCACTGCTAACATGTTAGTGTATTTACCATCAATGTTTGTGTGTGTGTGTGTGTGTGACAGAGTGCATTCCAAAGATGGCCACACTAATGTATATCCCATTCTCTCTATTTTTTTTTCACAGGTAACATTGGCATTTGTCCACTGAGAAATCGTTTCTTCTTCCCCTTCAACCTGGGGAGCCCTGAGACTACGGTGGGAGCGACTCTGTGTGGTTTAGGAGGGTAAGTTTAAATACGCAGGTCAGCTCCTTCCTGGCTTTCTCATTGCTGGAACAGTTGCCATTCTATACATTTATCATGCTGTGAGGAAGCCCAAACTATCCTTTGCAGAAAGACTGCATGGAATGACTCGTACGGAGTAGGATCAAGACTCCCAGCCCAGAGGCAGAATCATCGGCCAGGTCTGTTGATCAAGCAAGACTTCAGATGAGTCCAGGGCCACCTGACAAGTTGCCCCAGTTGACACTAAGTGGAGGAGCAATGAACTGTTCCCTCTGAGCCCAGACAAAATTATAGACCCATGAGCAAAGCAAATGTGTCATTGCACGGAGCTCCTAAGTTTTGCAGGAGTTTGCTGCACAGTAGTACACAACTGGAACAGGACATATGCACAGTTTAAGCTTTTATACAATTAAGATACTGAAGACTTTTCCAAGACATGAAATGACTTTTAAATCTCGATTTTTAATCATAATGTCCTTTTCTCCACCATTTAAGCACCTAATAGGTGCTTGGGAGGTGATGACAGGCACAATCTGGAGTCTTTTTTTTTTTTTAAATGTTTGTTTCTAGGTAGATTTTTTTTTTTATTTGACAGATAGACAGTGAGAGAGAGAGACAGAGAGAAAGGTCTTCCTTCCGTTGGTTCACCCCCCAAAATGGCCGCAACGGTGGGAGCTGCGCTGATCTGAAACCAGGAGCCAGGAGCTTCCTCTGGGTCTCCCATGTGGGTGCAGGGGCCCAAGCACTTGGGCCATCCTCCACTGCCACAGCAGAGAGCTGGACTGGAAGAGGAGCAACTGGGACTAGAACCAGGCACTCATATGAGATGCCATCGCTGCAGGCGGAGGATTAACCAAGTGAGCCACAGCGCCGGTCCCACAGTCTGGAGTCTTAATGCTTATTTTCCCTTTATTTGCTTTAAGGACTCCCCAGAAGCCTTGCACGGTTTTGTGTCCTGCTTGTTGGGCAGCCCTGTTCCATGCACTAGCTTATTTCTTCTGGATTTGTCTTACATTTGGTCATACACCAAAGGTTCTCTGAGTAGTAGTGCTTAATTCTTAGAAATGCAAATTAGCTCCCAATGTCCTATATGGAGGAATTGGTCTATTTGCTTCTCTCTCTCTCTCTAAGAATTGAAGAATTTTGAACTAGAAGATGACAAGTCACACACTCATGAAGATCAGGACAACAGAAAGGGTTATGTTACTTGGTAGGCAAATGTGATTTTTAAAGCAGATCTGAAAGAGAGAAATTGCTTCCCCTGGTCCAAGACATTCCATTTTTTTTTCTTAAGAAGGCCATCAACCTTCAGATCACAGAGGTGTGGTTTGCGTTATCATTCAGCAAGTGAATGCCAGCAACTCCTGTTACTGCAACCTGCAGAGAGGTGTGTACTGAGTATCTGTGACACATTCATATGATTATTACTCTGAACCAATGTTGTTTTGAAGATCTACACAGAGCTGCTCCTTCAGTTCACAAAGTGTTTTTTTTTTTTTTAAAGATTTATTTATTTATTTGAATCTCAGAGAAGTGGGGAGAGACAGGGAGGAATCTTCTGTTTGTTTACTCCCTCAATGGCCTCAGTGGCAGGGGCTAAGCCAGGACAAAGCCAGCAGCCTAGAACTCCAGCTAGTTCTCCCATATGCAAGGCAGGGCCCAAGCACTTGGGCCATCTTCTGTTGCTTTCCCAGGCAGATTAGCATGGAACTGGATCACAAATGGAGCAGCTGGGCTTGAACAGGTACTCCAATATAGGATGCCAGTGTCACAGTTGATGGCTCAACCCACTGCATCACAATACTGGCCCCCAATACACAAAGCTTTATTGAGAGTCTATTGTTAGGCATTGCTAAGTTCTGTGGACAAAAATGAATCAGATGTAATTCCTATGTTCATGGAATTCAGGATTTTTAGGGGGTTATGTTTCAGTCAGAATTCTGCATATTTCCAACTGCTGACAGTGGTGTGATCACAACAGAGCAATTCCAATATTTCTAATTTCTTTTAGGGGATCATGGTTTTTCATGTGTTGTAGGCCAATAGTGGTATAAGAGCAAATCAAGTGTAAATTGGGCCTATGTTTTGGGCAGTGTAAGTGGTATTCACAAAGAGCCTTCTAGACATTCATGGAAAACGAGCATAGTTTATTCATTCCATTGTCCATGAACATTCTGAAATCCCTTTGCATCAATGCTAGCCTCTTTTTTTTAAGATTTATTTATTTATTTGAGAGTCAGAGTTACACAGAGAGAGAAGGAGAGGCAGAGAGAGAGAGAGAGAGAGAGAGGACTTCCATCCTCTGGTTCACTCCCCAATTGGCTGCAATGGCCAGAGCTGCGCTGCTGCTGCCAGGAACCAGGAGTTTCTTCCAGGTCTCCCATGTGGGTGCAGGGACCCAAGGACTTGGGCCATCCTCTACTGCTATCCCAGGCAGCAGCAGAGAGCTGGATTGGAAATGGAGCTGCCGGGACTCGAACCGGCTCCCTTATGGAATATTGGCACTGCAGGCGGTGGCCCCCACTTGCTACACCACAGCACCAGCCCCAGTTCTAGCCTTTAAGATGTAGGCATTCCTAATTCATGTTCCACTTAAGAGTATGATCGACTTGGAAGAGTAGGAAATCTAGAATATAGTTAGGATGACATCATTTCCTAACCACACCATTTTTGGCAAGTTATTTTGGTTTCTGATTCTTCATCTATATGAGGTTGTTATAGTCAACATTTCTAACACAAAATTTTATGTTTCTAGGTCTGATATCTGAAAAAAAACCAATTTGTTGCAGCATAAGGATATGAAGAGGTATATATGCAGGGCCTCCTGTAACGTACTTCAACTTGCTACTGAGAATGGTCTCTGATTGTTTGGGATGTCACGGTCTGTACCCTAGGAGAACAGTTTTCTTTTGGGCTTTGTATCACTTTAACTGTGGAGGCTTGACTTGTATGAAAATTGGCAGCATGTGTGGCTGGGGAAGGATTTCTTGGTGACCACGGAGGATGGAGTTATTAATCAAGGAGAGCTGTCACATAGCTCATTAAGTAGGTTGCAGTGTACTCGTGGAGGAGTGTGTGATTGCCAACTCTGATATTAAGTCAATCTTAGCTCAAAAGTGTTGAGATGAAAAAAGTTGCCGGTTTTCTTTCTTTCTTTCTTTCTTTCTTTCTTTCTTTCTTTCTTTCTTTCTTTCTTTCTTTCTTTCCTTCCTTCCTTCCTTCCTTCCTTCCTTCTTTCCTTTCCTTTCCTTTCCTTTCCTTTCCTTTCCTTTCCTTTCCTTTCCTTTCCTTTCCTTTCTTTTTCTTTTTAAAAAAATGTATTTATTTATTTGAAAGGCAGAGTTACAGAGAGGTAGAGCCAGAGAGAGAGAGAGAGAGGGAGAGAGAGATTTTTATCTGCTGGTTCACTCCAATGGCTGGAGCTGGGTGGATCCAAAGCCAGGAGCCAGGTGCTTCTTCCAGGTCTCCCATGTGGGTGCAGGAGCCCAAGGACTTGGGCCATCTTCCACTGCTTTCCCAGGCCTAGCAGAGAGCTAGATTGGAAGCGGAGCAGCCTAGACTCTAACCAGTGCCCATATGGGATGCTGGCACTGCAGGTGGCTTTACCTGCCATCTGCCATAGCACCAGCCCCGCTGGTTTTCAATTTCAGATACCACCCATAGAAATGCTAATTATACGTCAATATCAGCACTGCATTCCGTGTCTTTTTCATTTCTCTCATGTCTGTTCACCAATTGGCCATGGTGGTAACTTTGTGAAACAACAACCAGGTATATCCATGGTGAGCATATTTTAGGTCTGATCTGTAGGATGACAACGATGTAAATGAAACAAATTAAGGAAAGCTGTTTCTCTTTGCTTTGATAGCCCTTAGTCTACAATCCTTGTCTGTCCTGGTAGGACGTCTCACACTGTTATGTTAATCTGGCATTCAGTGGTTTCTGTCCTATGATTCTTTGAGTAGGAATGATTTTGTAGTCATGTTTATGTTCTCAACCCAATTTATCACCAGCTCTATGCTGCGTTCCATATTAGAGTGCCTGGGTTTGAATCCAGGCTCTGGCTCCTGATTCCAGGTTTCTGCCAATGCAGGACCTAGTAGGTAGTGAAGATGGCTCAAGTAGTTGAGTCCATGCTACCCATATGGAGACTTGGATTAAGTACCCAGTTTTCCAGCTCCCCAAATATTGCCTTGGATGTTGTGGGCATTTGGGGGAGCTTCCTGTCTGTCTGTCTTTGCCTCTTGAATTAGAAAAATAAAGACATCCAAAATGGTAGTAGGCAGCATAAAACTGATAAGAGATAATTTAAGTTGTTCTCTTGCCATTTATCTATGATTCCTTCATAATTTTATGAAATAGTGATGAGACAGAGAGATAGCTCTAAATCCACTATAGGGATATGAAAATGAACTAAAACATTGTGTTAGCATGAGTTCATTTATTTATTTTTTGATTTGTAATGGTTAGCTATCTGTGTGAACTTGGCTGGGCTATGAGGTGTCTAGATATGTGGTCAAACGTTATTCTGGATGTTTCTCTGAAGGTGTCTTTGGATGAGATCAATATTTAAATCAGAGGACTTAGAGTAACGCAGAATGATCTCTCTAATGTGGGTGGCACTTACCCAATCAGTTGAAGGCCTGAACAGAACAAAAAGACTGTCCCCAGGCCAGAGAGGTTTCTCCAGCTGGTAGCTTTCATATTTTCTCTTCAGCACGAGCTTTCTCTGGTCCTACAACAGATAGCTGTGGTACTCAAACTGCAATGCTGGCTCTCTTGAGTCTTGAGCCTACTAGTCTACTGTGCAGATTTTGGACTTGCCAGCCTATAATCATGTGAGCTAATTCCTTATAATGAATCTCTCTGTATACTTCTATAAATTACAACATATTATACCAACATTATTGATTTTTTTCTTGGAGTACTCCGAGTAATACATTATCTTATTGCATCTGTCTTCAATGCTCCAGGGAGTGGGAATATAGCGAAAAACAGAGAAATTAAGAAAATTCCATCTATAGGAAGGTGAGGTTAGGGGAGGGTAACAGAGGTCCTAAAACATACAGTAAAGAAAGTATATCTTGGGGCTGGTGCTGTGGCATAGCAGGTAAAACTGTCACCTGCAGGGCCAGCATCCGATGTAGGCACCAGTTTGAGTCCTGGTTGCTTCACTTCTGATCCAGCTCTCTCTTATGGCCTGGGAAAGCAATAGACGATGGTCCGAGTCCTTGGGCTCCTGCACCCATGTGGGAGACCTGGAAGAAGCTCCTGGCTCCTGGCTTCAGATCAGCCCAACTCTGGCTGTTGTGATCATTTGGGGTGTGAACTAGAAGATAGAAGACTCTCTCTCTCTCTCTCTCTCTCTCTCTGCCACTGTCTCTAACTCTGCCTTTAAAATAAATAAATAAATCTTTTAAAGAAGAAGTATACATCACAAAGAACAGACAGCATCAACCAACTTAATTTCATTAACTCATTTTCCCCTTGTGCCAATTTGGGGAATTTAGAAATCCCTGATAAATAATACCCCTGTAATACGAAACTTAAAGGCACGGCTGTCTCTCCTACTGTGCAAATAGTTTCTGAGAGCATGCTCAACAATGACAATCCACGGTTACTTACTGGCATTGTCTTGGTGTCTGTCAGGTCCCTTGAAGCCAGGAATGCACAGTGTTTCTAACTTAGAATTCAACGTGTTAAATTTATGCTTAAATAAGTGAACACATAAATGCAGCCTTTGGTTTTACCAAACTGTCTTCCAGTTTAAAGGTAATAAGAAAGAAAACCTGAAAAATATATCTTTCTTCCTTTAAATAAAAAAAAAATTGGAGGGGCAGAGAAATGGAGAGAAAAAAGAGACAAAGGGAGAGAGAGAAAGCAGGGGGAGAAAGATCCCATTCCACAGTTTGCTTCTTACATGTCTGCAATGGCTGGGACTGAGCTTGGGCCAAAGATGGAATAGGAACTCAATCCAGGTCTCCTAGATGGGTGGTAAGAACCCAGCTGCTTGGCCATCACCACTGCCTCTTAGGGTCCACTTTAGTGGGAAACTGGAATCGGGAGTCGGAGCTGGAATTGAAACTCAAATACTCTCATGTAGGGTGTGGGTGTCTTAGCCACTAGGCTAAACATCTGAGCCTGCAAAAATCTGTCTTAGGATAGAATCACAAAACCTTTGCAAATATGGCAGTGGTGTCCACTGAGCCTAGGTGAGCAACAACCGGAGAGCTTAACATTACTGCCGGCCTTTAGATGACTTTATGAACAAACTCAAGGAAAGACGATGGGAATTAATAAAGAGTTTGAGTGATTATTTTGAGAACTTATTTTGTAATCTGATCCTGAAGCATCATTACAGGGCCTGTGTTGTGGTGCAGTGAGTTAAATTGTTGCCTGTGACACCAGCATCCCATATCAGAGTGTGGGTTCCAGGCCTGCTGCTTCTCTTCCCATCCAGCTCCCTGCTAATGCACCTGAGTAAGGAGATTGGGCCCCTGCCACCCATGTGGGAGACCTGGATGGAGTGCCAGACTCCTGGCTTCAGTCTGGCCCAGCCCTGGCTGTTGTGGCCATTTGGTAAGTAACCACAGGATGGACGTTTCTCTCTCCCTTTTTGTAACTCTGCCTTTCAAATAAATAAATAAATTTTAAAAAAGAGTCATCATTACATCAATGTTCCCATGGAGTTCCAAGATTAATCTGGTCCTGGGCAGGGCCACTGATGGGGGATAGAGACAGCAGGGTGGTCGGGGAAGGGAGAAGCTTTGATTCTCGGGAGGAGCTGGGGTAAGGGAGAGAGACTCTGGGTATTCTTATAAGTGACTTTTCCTCTCCCAAAGCCATTAATTACATTATACTTTCTATTAATTCATACTCAGTTTTCATTGTTTGTTAATTATGTTGCTTTTTAATGTAGCCTGATGATTTGCAAAAAATAAACACATAAATTATGTATATGTGTATGTGGAGAGAGAGAGAGAGTGAGCGAAAGAGCGCTGGCCATCAAGAAAGTTATTCTTACTAACTTGACATTTCTCATACCCCAGAGGAAGAGTTCGACAAATATTCTCAGATGGAGTCACGTTGAACAGTAATAATTTCCACATACTGTCGTGCCGTCTCAGATTAGGCATACAGGTGGTGGTTTTATTTTTTTCCATGCAAGAATCTTGAGGCACCTTAGAAACCTTAATTAGGCCTTGGACCTCTTTGAAGTTGATCCTATACCTATATACACATGGTGAAATGCAGAAGGAGAGAGGTTAATTGAGTAAGACCAGGACCACACAGAAATTCCATGCGAGAGCCAGGAAGGGGATGGCTTCCCAGTCCGGGGCCAAAACAAGGAAGCACTGAGAAGTGATGCTTATTTGCCAGGTGCTTTAAATTCACCTGGAATTTCCACCCTCCACTTCATTTACAAGTCAGCTACCCTCTCCCCTCTTCCCTCCCAACACCGACTCAAAGAAACCCTAAATAGCTAGGAGGTAATTGCCATGGCTCTCAGGGTGTGTTCCCCTGCAGCCTACTAACTGAAACGTTTTCTGGGAATGGCTGCCATGGGTACTCCTGCCTCCCAGCTCTCCATGAGAGTGTATGTTCTTGTTTAGAACTGCCTCCTTTTCTCTGCCCTTTTTTTTTTTTTTTTTTGAATTGAGATCTTCCAGTTATCTTCCCACAATTAAATCCAGGTAAGGGAATATAAAGTTCACTAAAATTACTCAAGGCTAGGGTTGCACCTTCCTCCCACTTAAATTGTGCAGAGATGAGTCATCATGGGGCTCTGAGAAGGTGAGAACAGCAGGTATCCGAGGGAAGGAAGCAAGGAATGGAGGATTTAGGAATAAAAAGCTTCAATGGGTATGAGGGAAGAGAACTTTGGCAAAAATAATGTGTTTTATATCTATCTTCAGTTTCTAATAAGTTTTGCTGTTGTGTCTCCCTTCTCCAAAACATGCTGATAAGTCGGAAATCTCTTTGCATCAGCCTGGCCTGGCCACCTCCTGTAGTTCGTTCTGGGAGGGACTTCTTTTTAAAAACACTGAACCATTTCCTGTACAAAAGGGTTCCTGGGACAAAGCATGAAACAGATGGGCTCAGGACAGTCCCCAAACATTGGAAGCCCAGAGAGTATTTGTTGGAAGATTCATTAACCAAAGGCAAGAGCTCTTGACCATCTAGAAGGCATCTGTAGGGTTTGGTGTGTGGGAGCGTTGCGCGTCTCACTCTGTAGCTTGGAGTTGTTACAAACAATTTAGTTGTAGACTAAATAAGACTATTAGGAATTAAGCCTCCGGTTGGGCACTAGCCTAGTGGTGAAGACTCCCACGGCTCCCTCCAAAGTGCTTGGGATTGATCCCCACCTCTGACTCCTCATTCCATCATCCTACCAATGCAGACCCTGGGAAGCACTTGGCTTAAGTTCCTGACTTTGCCGTGGCCTGTGTAGGCACTTGGGGAGAGTGAACAAGTGCATGACAGCATTGTCTGTCTGCCTCTCAAAAAAATTTCAAGACCAAGCTGCAGCAAATCACATTTAGAGAGAGGAAGGGTTTACACGATTAGCTAACAGAAGGAAAAGTTTGGAGGAAAATAGACTAGATTGAGAACAAAGATGCGAAAGCCCAAGTTTTGGTTTGTTTTAATGAAGCAGGAGAAAAATACAGCATCCACAGATGATAAGGTCTCTTTCTTAATAAACAGCCCTCAGTTTGGGTACAGGTACCCAAAGCCCTGGTGCAGGCCCAGCTAATACTGTGCTTCTCTGTCGCCTGATTTTGAAAGATCAACAAAGACCTCAACATGCATCAGGCTTAGAAGTGTTAGCTCAGTTGCGTCTCTTCTGCCCCAAAGAGAATCCTCTTTCCTTCTGGGACTTTGAAGTTGCCTCCCACTGCCTCCCTTGGTGCCACACCTCCGATCCTTGCTTGCACAAAGAGAAGCTTGGGCCGCTGCACACAACCTCACTCGGCTTCAGGCAGGGACAGAATGCCATTTTGGCTGGAGCTCCATGGAAGTTGCTGCCAATTTCCTCTAAGTTTGCCCTCTTTCAAAATTCCGAATAACAGCACACAAACAATCTCAGGTTGTCCTGGCTGCGTTCCCTTTTTGGAGTCATTAGCTGAAATGCACAGTATGTTCTCACCTCATCCCGACTTTCCATGGAGTCAGGGCTGCCTCCCTTAACCAGAACCTGCTGTGCAGTGCTCACAGGGGACCTGCTTCCTTGTTCCCCGAGGTAGGGGTTTTGGCTGTCTTGGGGAGCCCATGGAGAATCGGACAGTTCTTTGTTTCTAATTTGGATCTGCCAAAGGCTTTGACCTGGCCAGCTCTCTCCAGGTGCTCTCAGTCTTGTTGGCCTCTAACCCCTCTTCATGGGGATGATCAGAGGAATGGTGGCTTGCCATGGGTGGGGGTAGGGAAGGCAAATATGGAGGCCCCAAAGTTCTCCAGAGGGCTTTGGAGTTAACTGCATAAATAATAGGAGACGCTCAGGGTTTTGAGGCAGAAATATGACATGATGAACGTAATTTGCATGCAGCGGGAGGGTGGCCAGAGAGAGTATTTAGCACTGGAGACAATGGAGCCAGCTAGGAAGCTGCCATGATATTCTGCATGAATGGCCACGAGGGCCGGGCTTTGGAAATGGGAGAGAAGTTCTCATCAGAAGTCAGGCCATTGATGAGGTAGACTAGCGTCCTCAAAGTGTTGTCTCCACGTCCCAGCCCAAATCTCACGAGTCTGAAACTCTAGGTTGGGATTCAGCAAATTCTGTTTCCATAAACCCGCCTGATGATCCTAACACAAGCTAAAGTTTGAGATCTGCTGTTGTACACAGCTGGGTGGATCATAAGTGTGAGTGTTAGGGGACTTGGGTTCTACTTCTGATTCAAAACAAGTAATTGAACAGTATTAAGTACATCATTTAACATTTAGAGGATCTTTTTTTTAAAATTTGTTTTATTTATTTGAAAGGCAGAGTTACAGAGAGAGAGAGAGAGAGAGTGAAAGGGAAAGATCTTCCTCCCACTGGTTCACTTCCCCAAATGGCCTTTATAGCCAGGGTTGGGCCCGGCCAAAATCAGGAGCCTGGAACTCCACCTGAGTCTCCCACGTGGGTGCAGGGGCCCAAGCACTTGGACCACTTTTCCCAGGCACATTATCAGGGAGCTGGATAGGAAGTGGAGCAGTTGGAACTTGAGCTGGTGTTCAAATAGGATGCCAGCATCACAGGCAGTGACTTAACCCTCTGTGTCACAACACCAGCCCCACAGATTCTGAACTTCTCATCTCTGATATGTAGCGCATCATAAAGAAAGTAGAGAGAAAATGCCCAGGGTCAGTGGCGTAAACACCAAAGACAAGAAGGCAGGAGTGGGGTCATCCAGAGCTGCTACAGAAACTTCACAAAGCCCTCAGGTACCCAGGCTCTGCCATCCTCAGTGCTGGTAGATCGGTTTCCCACTGTTAATGCAACAAATGCCAAATTCCAGCAGTTTAAGATAAGACAAGTGTATTATCCTACAAGTGCGGGAGGTCAGGACTTTGAAATGGGGCTCGCTGGGCTACAACCACGGAGCCAGCTTTCAGCCTGTGTTCCTTCTGGAGACTCTAAGGAAGAGTATGTTTCCTTGGCTGTTGCAGCTTCTGTAGGCTGCCCACAATGCTTGGCTTCTGATTGCTTCCTCCATCTTCACAGGCAGCCGTGTTGGACTCAGTCCTTCTGGCTCTACCATTCCTGTGTGTGTGTGTTTTCCTGTCTTCTTCTTCCCTTTTAAGGGCTCTTGGAATTAATTCGGGCTCATCTAGATAGTCTGTGGTGATGTCCCAGTTTTAAAGTCAGTTGACTAGTAACTTGTATTCCATCTGCAACCATCTACAGCCATGTAGTATAACATTTCCACAGGGTCCAGACGTCTGGCTGTGGACATTCTTGTGCCTTCCATTCTCAGTCTGTGGTCCATAACAGCTGCTAGAATTGCTGCTGTCATGTGGCATTGAGGGCCAGCAGGAACCAGGAAATGAGGAAGGTTGAAAGAGTACTCTTGCTGGCTCCGTTCAGCGCCCACACAACAGTTCTGCAACTTTTCTTCCCAGAATTTAGTCACCTGGACACGCGTAGCTGCAAGGGACACTGGGAAGTGTGGTCATTTTTTCCTGGCCGCACGGTGCTCTTCCCCACAGAAGAAAGAGGAGTGACTATGGCAATCAGCAGCCTCTACCATGGGCAGGCAGAGAAAGGTGGTCTTGATTTTTCTCCTGAATTCCTCCATCCCCTCAAAGCTCCACAACCCTTCTGCGCTAAGGCATAGAAGGAAATGACAGCTTCCAGTGGATAAATGAGTTACGGAGCAGAGGGACAAAGGAAACCTTTGTGTCCCCCTTTTTCTTCTGGGACAATTGGATGCATTTATGTTTTACTGAGCATCTTAAAGACACATTGTGCACGTTCGCCTTTTCTGTATGCACCAAGCAAAGACGATCTTTCTGGTGGCTCCGTGTTGTTTTAGCCCTACAAATACATCCCACGATTGAAAATATCATATGCCATTTCTATTTGCAACTGAAGA